TGTTAGCGTTTGTGATGAATCACACAACGCTAGACTAGAGATTAAGATGGTCCTTCTAGTCTAACTGGATTAGGACATCTGCCCGGATAGCAGAAGGTGTGGGTTCGAGTCCCACGAAGGTCACTTTTTCTCGATTCCTCTCTCTTTCGTTCTCTTTCGCTGATGTCCCTATAGTTTGAGCTAACATTTACTGATTATTATACTTCCATTCTGGGCCTCTGTCACAAGCACGACCCTGAGATAACTGATCTTCAAGTTCTCGACTGGCTCAAAGCTGGTATGAGTCTTTCCTTGTATGAACGTCTTCAAGGTGAAGAATTTACAACACCTCAAGCTTTACTTCGTCGTGCTCAACGTGTTGAACTCGATAATGCTGTTCTTGATGCTCGCAAACGCGAGTCTGCCACCAAAACACCTCGTACTCAAACTTCCTATACAACTCCTCGTTCTTCTGTTTGGCTTCCTAATACCTTCACGTCACCACCTCCATTCGTACCACCACCTGCGCCACCACTCGTGTCTACTCCCGTACCAACATCATATGACTTTCCACCACCTTCTGCCTCTTCTACCTTCTACTCTCCTAACACTGATTCCGCGACGTCAACTCGATCTCGTCGACCTATTATATGTTTTGCTTGTAATCAACCTGGTCATGTTTCTACTCAATGTCCCTCTCGTCCTATCATTTGTTTCACTTGTAATCAACCTGGTCATGTTTCTACTCAATGTCCCTCTCGTCCTATCATTTGTTTCACTTGTAATCAACCTGGTCACATCTCCCCTCAATGCCCCACTCGCCCAAACATCTAACGGAGGCCCGTGATGGTCGTTCCTCCTCTTTTGCTGTTAATCCATCACTCATTATTATCCCTACTTTCATTTCTGGTGTGCTCGTTCCCGCCATGGTTGATACCGGTGCTACGCACACTTTAATCACTCGTTCTTTCCTTGATACGCTACCTGGCGCTCAATTTACTCAAACCGCTGCTATTTCTGCTTTACTTGGTGATGCTTCCACTGCCCTTCACGTTCATGGTGTTGCTCACTTATGTGTTTATGTTAACCAGCTTCCTACATATGTTTCTGCTTATGTTGTTGATTCTTTGGGTGTCAATCTGATTCTTGGTATGGATTGGTGTCGTACTTATGATGTTTCAATCCATATTCGTCAACATGAAATTCGTCTTCATCACTCATCTTATGGCTCCACGTCAATCTCTTTTCTTCCTAGTGTTTCAATTCCCGCTCGTCTCACTCATGCAGTTCATCTGAATCCTTCTTATGATCATATAGTTCAACTATCTGCTCCTTTATCCTCCGCTGTCGCAGTTGTGTTTACTCCTGATTCCAATCTGTGTCAACGCAAACGCCTTTTTATTCCGGATGCTGTCGTATGTATTGATCGTTTTCATACCTCTCTTGTTGTCTCTAATCTTGCTGCCAATTCTTGTATGTTATCTTCGAACACTGTTCTTGGTACTTTCACATTCTTCTCTTCTTTTCCGGCTGCCATCAATCTTGCCTCTCTTTCTCATTCACAGTCTTCGTTTGCCGCCTCTTCACCGTTTTCTCTAGCGTCTGTTTCCACTGTCGCTATTTCTGATATCGATCCTGTTATTCAAACCTTAATAAATCCTATCTCTGATAACTCAACTCGTCAGACATTTCCTTCTATCCTTCACAATCATCGTCGAGTCTTTGATATATCTAAACACAGTATTGCTGATACTAAAATCCGTCATGTCATCATCACCGGCGATCATGCGCCTATCAGTGCTCGCCCTTACTATCGTACTGTTGAACAGCGGAAAGAGCTTCAACGTGAGGTCGACCATATGCTGCTTTCTAATATCATTCGCCCCTCTACTTCGCCGTGGTCTTCACCTGTCATCCTCAAGAAAAAACCTGATGGTACATTTCGTTTTCTAGTAGATTTTCGCCGTCTGAATTCCATCACAAAGAAAGATGCGTATCCTCAGCCATCTGCGGAAGAACTCATCTATCGTCTTTCCGGTCATAGCTTTTTCACTAAACTTGATTTGAAAAGTGGCTACTTTCAGATTCCTATTGCTGAAACTGACCGCGAGAAAACTGCATTTGTCACTCCCGATGGTCACTATGAATTCAACGTACTTGCGCAAGGTTTGACCAATGCTCCCGCTAGCTTCCAGCGCGTCATGAACAATCTCATCGCCACTGGGCGCTGGGATTATGTCGTTGTATATCTTGATGATATCGTCATATTTTCTCATTCTCTTGAGGAACATGCTCACCATGTCGCTGAGATTTTGTCTATCCTCGATAAGGCGCATTTTAAAGTTTCTCCATCCAAGTGTACCATCGCTGCGCGTGAGATCGACTTCCTTGGTCTTGTCGTTTCCGCTACTACCGTTGAACCGTGTCCCGATAAAATTCAAGTTATCTTGGACATTCCTCTCCCTCGTACCCTCTCTCAAGCGAATCGTTTTCTCGGTAAGATCGGCTACTATCACAAATTTATCCCCGACTTTGCTCGTATTGCCGCTCCACTCCATAAAGTAACTATTAAAACTCGTACCAAACGTCATGAATTCTATTGGCATGCTGAACAACAACTCGCCTTCGACGAATTCAAACGCATCCTTACATCTGCTCCACTCTTCCTCCACTTTCCCGATCCATCGCTGCCATTCATTCTTTCAACTGACGCTAGTTTAACTCGTATCGCCGGTGTTCTCAAACAAGATACTCCTGCTGGTCTCAAAGTCTGCTATTATAAATCTCGGTTACTCTCGGCCACTGAACAACGGTATTCCACTACTGAACGTGAAGCTCTTGCCATTTGTTGGTGTTTAGAGCAACTTCGTTCTTGCATAGGTACTTCGTCTATTGTTATTGAAACTGACCATCAGCCTTTAGCGAATATGCATAAGAACTATAATTTCCGTAATAAGCGTATTGACAATTGGTTACTCAAACTTCAAGATCTTCTGCCTCAAATTCTTTCCATCAAGTATCGCAAAGGTATCGATAATGTTGGTCCTGACTTTCTCACTCGCTATGAACCCATTTCGTCATCTTCGTGTGACTCGTCTCCCACCTTTGCATCTCTTCCTCCAAGGTCATGTCTTCCTACTACTGTTGTCGATTCAAGTTGGCCACCAGGAACTGAATCTTGGAATACCATTGTTGTATCCCCAGTCGTTACTCGTTCCAAAGCTCGTTCTACCGTTACTACCACCGCTCCAGTTTCGTCTCCACCACCTGTTGGTGCGCTAACTTCGCCTGCTCCACCGCTTTCATCTCCTCCTTTGAATTCATCTGATGTATCTAACCTTTCTCTAGATTTAAGTCTTTCCCGTATCAAAACCGAACAACACTCTGATCCGTCTATTTTGTCTCTCATTTCCCAACTTCGAGCCGCTCCTACTCATCCTCAATATGTCTTAGACAATGATATTCTTTTTCATCTTGTCTTTCGTTCTTCTTCGCAGTCTCCTCTTCGCATTCCTTATCTCCCCAAAAGTCTTGTTCCACTCGTGCTTCGCCTCTATCATGATCATCCTATCAGTGGTCATTTTGGAGTTCATCGAACTTTCTTGCGTATTCAGGATAAATTTTGGTGGCCTAACATGCGCTCTTGTGTTCGGAATTATGTCGCCTCTTGTTCCGCTTGTGCTCGTCATAATATCTCGCGTACCAAACTACCTGGTCATCTTCACTCTATCGATCCGCCAACTGGTGTATTTCAGTTGTTGCATTTGGATTTTTGGGGGCCTGTTCATACCCCCTCTGCTTCGGGTAATCGCTATGTTATTGTTCTCACAGAAACTTATCCAAGTACGTGATTGCTCAGGCACTTCCTGACTGTACTGCACGATCCGCTGCTCAGTTTCTCATCGATCAATTCATTCTCCTTCATGGTGCGCCTGAACGCATTCTCACCGATAACGGTACGCACTTTAATAATACTCTTTTACGGGCTATCACTTCTTCCATGCAAATTCCTCATAGTTTCTCTGTTGCTTATCACCCGCAAACGAACGGGCAGGTTGAGCGCTTCAATGCTACTTTCGCCACTCAACTTGCTAAGTACTGTTCTTCCGATCGTCATGATTGGGATCTCTATCTTCCGTCTATCGTCTACGCTTACAACACTAGTGTCCATTCTACTACTCAGCTTATGCCTTACGAAGTCGCATTCGATCGTTGTCCTAAAAGTCCGTTTGATCCATCGTCACCGACTATCAACCTTCCGCCTCTCCATTCTTTCTATCCGTATTTACAGCACACTCGTCGTCTTCTAACTTCACATGCTCGTACGAATATTCTGAATCAACAGTCTCACTGGCAACAACGATATAACACTAATCGCAGTAATCCTTCCTATGCTGTAGGTGATCTTGTTTATGTCACGGTTCCTGCCGGTCGTACTAAACTCTCTCCTCGTCGTTCTGGTCCGTTCTCTATCGCTGAAGTCTCTGGTACACAACACTATCTTGTACATGATCCATCTACCGGTAGTCGTTCTTGGTGTCACATTAATCAGCTCTCCCCTGTCGTTCCTCGTCTCTTCTGATAGGTCTCGTCTCCTTCTTTCTTTTCTTCTTGTTGATCACTACATCATCACTGTGATCACCAGGTTGTGGCAGCCTGGATATTCCGCATTTTTCTCTACCCCCTTCTCGTTATCGTTACAATTTTTTCTCACATGATTCCGTTCTTCTGCACATGATTTCTTTTGTTTGTCTTGTGTTTTTTCACTTCCTGGATATGCACTGGACACCTATATATACACGGCTCCATTCGTCTCATCATTCATTCATTTATCTACTCCTATTACTATGGTCTTCAATTTTATCCACCTGCTGGTGCTTCTGTGTCTCTTCTCCACAGCTGCTCTGGCTAGTATCATCGATTCTAAGCCGCTGTCACCCTCTGCGAACGTTCATGTTGATATTGTGAACTCCATGGCCGCTTCGTTACAAGCTCATGCCAGGCAGTTTCATTCTTCTTGGCGCGATTACTGTGTCGTCTATCTCATGGTCATCGTCAATGGTCTTTTGATACTTGCCTGTTGTGGTCTTTTCGTCTTTTGCTCTTATCGTCGTCTTCTTCTTCAATTACAAACACAATCACCACCGCGTGTTAATCGTACATAATATTCTTCAATTTCATCGGAATCTTTCTTTCTTTCGCGTTGCTTCGTTATCTTGCATGCGTGCTTCTCATGTCTCGTTTTATTATTATTTTTTCTTCTCTTTCTCGGGTTTTCTCATTTTCTTTCGCTTCCTTTGGTCTGGATTCCACTTGTTTGATGGGGGGAGGTGTCATGGACTTCGTCCATGATTCTACTCCTCAACACATTTCATTCCCCTTCATTCCATTCTTCTCCTCTTCACTCCTCTTCCATTCCCTTCCATCCCACATCTACTCTTTTCGTATATATACATTTGTATATGTGTTCTTCGGTGTGTTCTTTTTCCTCCTGCCTCTTCCATCAATAAAGGATTTTCACAATGGTGCACTGGCCGATCTGCTGACCACTGAACAGCAGATTTGCTCTCCTCTCCTGTCTTCTGTCTTACGTACATGCTCGCTGCCGAGCTCCGTCAAGCTAAACAACGCGCTGCTGCGCAAGCTCTCCAACGATACTACTCTTTCACGATTAACCCTATCTGCCCCACCTATTATTATGGAAACACAACAATTTTCTAAGATTATTGATACTATTCCTATCTTTTCTGGTACTCCTCGTGAGAATGTTCATGAATGGCTGGAACTTGTCAATTTGAAGTTTGACATGATTGGTTATAATGCTGTTCAAAAACGTCGTTTTGTCCCTCAATATCTCTCTGGTGACGCTCCTAAATGGCATTTATCTCATCGTGATCAACTTGACGGTTGGGATGCCTATGTTGTTGCTCTTGTCGCTGCCTTTCCTTATGTTGAAACTACGTCTCGTGATATGAATCTAAAGATGCTTCGCGATCGCAAACAAGGTGTCCTCGAATCTTTTACTGTTAGCGTTTGTGATGAATCACACAACGCTAGACTAGAGATTAAGATGGTCCTTCTAGTCTAACTGGATTAGGACATCTGCCCGGATAGCAGAAGGTGTGGGTTCGAGTCCCACGAAGNTAGCATGTACTGTATCAACAGCGATGGATGGTAAATTTTTCATGTTTTGAGTTATTTTACTACTCTCTTCAAAACATGATGTTGAGAATTTTTCTATCCTTGTTTCACAATAATCTTTATTTATCACATCCTCTCGTGTATGAGTGCTATTTACAATTTCTTTAGCCCAATGGTGTTTCTTCGTACCTAAGTCGTAGAACTTTTGCCAAACTTGGACTTCGTAATTTTCATAGACCCATCTATCGTACATTTCAATAGTATCTTTTGCATATGCAAAGATTGTATTCAGATGATCTTTTAGATTAACCTCGTTCTTAGCACGGGTTTTATTTACTCTCTCTCTTACATATGAAAATAATTTGAAATCTTGTAGATAGAGTTTTTGTTTTCTCTTATCTTTCGATTTCGCCGATGACATTTCAGACGTAAGATCATCCTTTGGAGTTTTACTCAAGATGTGATTTTTCTGTTTTGTATCTCGAGTTTTTGCATTTCTTTTATTCATGGTTTTTTCAACCTCTGAATATTCTGTCGATTCAGTTTCCGTTACACTCTTATCATTCTCTTCTTCCTCATCATCGCTATCTGATAGAAGTAAGAAACGATTATGCGTTGTTGTTGGAACTGTTTTATTCTGAGTTGGAGATGTATTTCCCACAGTAGCCGCTGCTACAGCTGCACGACTCTTGCGACGCCTATCTCTTCGGCTGAGTGTGTCACGATGTGCTTTTTCAGGTGATTTCTTCGATCGACCTTGCTGATTGACAGACTTATTAGATGAGTTCATTTGATTCCCCTGATTAGTCGACTGCATGAGACTATCGGGCATAAAATGTACTAATCTTCTATCTGTTGGTGTATTTCTTTTCTGTTTTTTAGATTTTTGAGCACTACGTGATGGTGTTCGCGGTGCATTATTCTTATTCTTTCGATATGGTCCTTGGTTCTTTCTAGTACTACGTGGAGTATAGGAACCTGCAGTGACCATTGATGACATATCATATGGATAATAGAATGGCGGTGGTGGTGATGTCAAAGGCATTCCATGCCCATTAACAAAACCTCCCATACCATAATAATTATTCGCGGGCGGATATAAACCATTCATTGGTAAGTTCATTGGATATTGATGTTGTTGATGATGATAATAATATGGCATCATTTTGAAGGTATTTTGTTCTCAATAAGAAGAAGACTTAGACTACTCTTGGACTAACTAATGATCGACGAAGACTCTATTTAGTTAGTCAACTAATAACTCAAGTCAAATACTCAATAGAAAAAGAAAAGAAAAGAGTAGATAGTTAAGTATTTTGAAAAAACTAACTATTTGTCTATTTCTCGAATCGAAGAAAATACTCAACTCAAACTCGAAAAAAATAATTAATTAAAAGATTTTT